AATCGGAATTCCGGATAATCGGAATTCCGGATAATCGGAATTCCGGATAATCGAATTCCGGATAATCGAATTCCGGATAATCGGAATTCCGGATAATCGGAATTCCGGATAATCGGAATTCCGGATAATCGGAATTCCGGATAATCCGAATTCCGGATAATCCGAATTCCGGATAATCCGAATTCCGGATAATCCGAATTCCGGATAATCCGAATTCCGGATAATCCGAATTCCGGATAATCCGAATTCCGGATAATCGGAATTCCGGATAATCGGAATTCCGGATAATCGGAATTCCGGATAATCGGAATTCCGGATAATCGGAATTCCGGATAATCCGAATTCCGGATAATCCGAATTCCGGATAATCCGAATTCCGGATAATCCGAATTCCGCATAATCCGAATTCCGCATAATCCGAATTCCGGATAATCCGAATTCCGGATAATCCGAATTCCGGATAATCCGAATTCCGGATAATCCGAATTCCGGATAATCCGAATTCCGGATAATCGGAATTCCGGATAATCGGAATTCCGGATAATCGGAATTCCGGATAATCGGAATTCCGGATAATCGGAATTCCGGATAATCGGAATTCCGGATAATCCGAATTCCGGATAATCCGAATTCCGGATAATCCGAATTCCGGATAATTCGAATTCCGGATAATCTGAATTCCGGATAATCCGAATTCCGGATAATCTGAATTCCGGATAATCCGAATTCCGGATAATCCGAATTCCGGATAATCCGAATTCCGGATAATCGGAATTCCGGATAATCCGAATTCCGGATAATCCGAATTCCGGATAATCCGAATTCCGGATAATCCGAATTCCGGATATTCCGAATTCCGGATATTCCGAATTCCGGATATTCCGAATTCCGGATAATCCGAATTCCGGATAATCCGAATTCCGGATAATCCGAATTCCGGATAATCCGAATTCCGGATAATCCGAATTCCGGATAATCCGAATTCCGGATAATCCGAATTCCGGATAATCCGAATTCCGGATAATCCGAATTCCGGATAATCCGAATTCCGGATAATCCGAATTCCGGATAATCCGAATTCCGGATAATCGGAATTCCGGATAATCGGAATTCCGGATAATCGGAATTCCGGATAATCCGAATTCCGGATAATCCGAATTCCGGATAATCCGAATTCCGGATAATCCGAATTCCGGATAATCCGAATTCCGGATAATCCGAATTCCGGATAATCCGAATTCCGGATAATCCGAATTCCGGATAATCCGAATTCCGGATGATCCGAATTCCGGATAATCCGAATTCCGGATAATCCGAATTCCGGATAATCCGAATTCCGGATAATCCGAATTCCGGATAATCCGAATTCCGCATAATCCGAATTCCGCATAATCCGAATTCCGGATAATCCGAATTCCGGATAATCCGAATTCCGGATAATCCGAATTCCGGATAATCCGAATTCCGGATAATCCGAATTCCGGATAATCCGAATTCCGGATAATCCGAATTCCGGATAATCCGAATTCCGGATAATCCGAATTCCGGATAATCCGAATTCCGGATAATCCGAATTCCGGATATTCCGAATTCCGGATATTCCGAATTCCGGATAATCCGAATTCCGGATAATCGGAATTCCGGATAATCGGAATTCCGGATAATCGGAATTCCGGATAATCCGAATTCCGGATAATCCGAATTCCGGATAATCCGAATTCCGGATAATCCGAATTCCGGATAATCCGAATTCCGGATAATCCGAATTCCGGATAATCCGAATTCCGGATAATCCGAATTCCGGATAATCGGAATTCCGGATAATCGGAATTCCGGATAATCCGAATTCCGGATAATCGGAATTCCGGATAATCGGAATTCCGGATAATCGGAATTCCGGATAATCGGAATTCCGGATAATCGGAATTCCGGATAATCGGAATTCCGGATAATCGGAATTCCGGATAATCGGAATTCCGGATAATCCGAATTCCGGATAATCCGAATTCCGGATAATCCGAATTCCGGATAATCCGAATTCCGGATAATCGAATTCCGGATAATCGGAATTCCGGATAATCGGAATTCCGGATAATCGGAATTCCGGATAATCCGAATTCCGGATAATCGAATTCCGGATAATCCGAATTCCGGATAATCCGAATTCCGGATAATCCGAATTCCGGATAATCCGAATTCCGGATAATCGAATTCCGGATAATCGGAATTCCGGATAATCGGAATTCCGGATAATCGGAATTCCGGATAATCGAATTCCGGATAATCGGAATTCCGGATAATCGAATTCCGGATAATCGGAATTCCGGATAATCGGAATTCCGGATAATCGGAATTCCGGATAATCGGAATTCCGGATAATCGGAATTCCGGATAATCGGAATTCCGGATAATCGGAATTCCGGATAATCCGAATTCCGGATAATCGAAATTCCGGATAATCGGAATTCCGGATAATCGGAATTCCGGATAGTCGGAATTCCGGATAATCGGAATTCCGGATAATCGGAATTCCGGATAATCGGAATTCCGGATAATTTTTTTTTATTGTTTGAACAGCATCAGAATTCCTATATGTTCTATAACCGAATAAAGTGTGTGTTAAAATCCGGAGTGTTGTATTGTTCATATTTAACATTTAACATAATATATATATATACGAGGTCTGTTCAAAAAGTACCCGGAATTACTAATAATTAAATTTCGCGGGTCTGGAGTGTCTGATTGTCAAAATTTTTTTTTATTGTGTTGGTATACATGCCCCTAAAGTATGATGAAATTTTCAGCTATATTCACTGTTTACTTTGTCTGTGGTAGTCGCTAAGGTTCCGACGTGTTTTTCTGAGCTCGGCGATTTTTACAATGGAAGAATTGAAAAGTCAAAGAATTTGTATTAAATTTTGCGTAAAAAATGAAATAAAGTGTTGCAAAGTGCAAAAATTCACCAGATATGGCTCCGTGTGAATTTTTCCTATTCCCAAAGTTGAAGAGACCCATGAAAGGACGGCGGTTTTCCTCGATTGAAGAAAATCGCTGAGAGTGCTCAAGGACATATCAAAAAGTGAATATCAAGGGTGCTTCGAAAATTGGAAAAAACGCTGGCATAAGTGTATTATATCTGGGGGGGACTACTTTGAAGGGGACCACATTAATGTAGACGAATAAATAAATATTTTTTTGAAAAAACGAAAATTCCGGGTACTTTTTGAACAGACCTCGTATATATATATATATATATATATATATATACCCGGCAAACTTGAAACGGGCAGGTGGCAAAAAGATTTAAAGCCTTATTATAGTTTTAAAGGTAATTCACAAAATAATTACATTTTTAACTAATGCTTAAAAACTACCAACGGAAGAAAATACTTTTATTATGGATTCTCAAAGATTACCGTTTATCTCCCCCATTTCAAAGATTACCGTTTTCAAATCAAGCTTGTAGCTGGCTATAAATCTTTTTTCCTCTACTTTCAAATGTTGTTGTTAAACAATGCTTAACTTTACTGATTTTTGACAAATCGGTGGTTGACTTTTTTAACCCCGGACTTTCATATATTACTATCTATTCTGCGATAAATTCTGGAAAATTATAACTGGAAAAATGTTATTCGACAAAAGGTCCATTTGATCGATACCAAATTTAGGTTCTGAATTTAAATAACATAAATAAAAAATAATATAACAACCTAGAAAATGTTTTATAAATACCAATGAGCATATAATTATACAAATAAGATCTTTCAGAGCACCGTGTTTGAGAAAAATATGCCAAAAATGCATTTTCATATTAACATGTCGAAAAAGTTTATATTTTGAGTCTCTAGTAACACTTGGGCCCCGTTTACTAACGTTTTTGTATATAAATAAAACTACAAACAAAACTACTTACTACAAATTTATCACAAATAAATAATATTCGCGTAAAACATCCTATTAAACGTAATTGAACATCATCTGTCAAAAGCGTTTGACATTTCACGAAATTGCCACCGTCCATTGTTCTATTTAAATTACGCTTCTACAAAAATTTTCAAATTATAAATGTAAAGTTTCTACGCGGATTTGAAATAATTTCTCACCTTTTGGACATTCTCTGGATTGGCACGAATTTTTCAAGACTAAGACTGGCCAAATCGATTCAGCCGTTTTCGAGTTTTATTCGGACATTTGAAAGAGAGCTCCATTTTTATATATATATATATATATATATATATATATAATTAACTTCCCGTAGCGCAAACTTGGCGATTACTATAACTTGGGAAGGTAAATCTAGCGGCTTCGGAGATCCAGTAAAAATAAGTAAAAAACATGCCATTTGAAGTCAAAAATGATTATTAGATCATATCATGGAGATTTTAATAATGTGTATCAATTTTGTTTACATTTCTATGGGTTTCGTAACATCGTTTGCCTGTTAGACGGCGACGCGGCGCTTACGCGCTTCGATATTGCGTCTCTATACAGTTAAAGCAGTGCGATTGCTTTAAAAAAAGTTCAAAATTTCTAAAATATTTAAAAATAAAAATATATATTTATATATATTCCAAAAGTTTTTTTCCAAAATTATTTAAAATTTCTAAAAAATCTAATTTTTTCAAAGTATAAAACAAATTTAATCTTTTTTAAAAAAAAATAATTTTTGGTACGGGAAGTTCCAGCAATTTGTCTTAAGGCACGATTCCATACTCCACTAGTTTATTTTTTTTATTGTTAATAGTTCCTGAAAAAGGAGACATCCCATATCCCCGATACGTAGAATAAAATAAATGAAAAAGAAACATAAACATATAAAGGATCAAGGATATTCCATATTCGAATACTGACCTTCGCACATAATGCTGTGCTGCAAATGTATTAATAATGGGGTATTTGTAGAGTACGTGCACATCTGCGTATTTATATCTTATCCTTTGAAATTCTAATGCGGCTCTGTATTTGTGTGCATGCGTACACATATGCGTCGTCATGATGTGTGCGATGCCCCAATCGAAAGTGGACTCAGGAGCTCTATAGACTAATGCGACTCTGTGTGTGTGTTTATACTCGCGTATGTGTCAAAGTGTGTGTGGCTTTGCTAGTATTGGACAATTATAATTTGACGTATGGTAAATGAGGAGAAAACACTTTCATTTTGTCTACGTATTAAGATTCGATTAAGCATCGGAAAGGAACTTGCATCGTGCAACAACAGCACAAAAATAGTGAACGCAAACGCACAATCAGTCAACCGTCACTGCTAGTGATAACAGAAACTTTGAGTTTTGGGTACAAAAAACACATTTCTTACATAATAAATATACGAGAAACATGTCTATCTATAAATTGTACGACGATTTAAAATATAACAAATCCAGCATTTGATAAACATATGAAAAACTTCATTTTTTTCTGTGATAATTTCGTGAAATTGATGTTTAATAATTCATAAACATGGACAGTATATTGTTAACTATATCAAGTGGTTTAGGAGTTTCAGAACCTGCCCTACGTTTGCTTGTATCAACCCTCCTGGGTAAAGTATAAATTAAATTCATATTAATTATTTATTATCTATTGAGAAACTAGGTTAGTTTTTAGTGACATCAATTATTCATTCATGTTTCAGGATATCCACTGGCCTATTTATATCGAACGCAAATTCTAAAAAAAAGTGAAACAGTTAAGAATGTTTTTATTGCTTTTACTGGAATATTACTTTGCTATTTTAATTATGGATATGACATACGACATAGTTTGGGAGCAGTGTTATTTACCTATTTGAACATGAAATTTTTAGCTGGAACATCTTACAGTGTAATAATACAATTTATTTTTCATATGGGACATCTCCTCATAGGTAAAGTATTTTATTATTATTTTTATTTTAATAATTATTCATTAAAATCCCAATTTTTTCATTATTTTTTTTGCAATTTATCAATAATATTCATGTTATTTTATCATACTGTCTATAAGTGCATTTATAAAATAATATTTATATTATCATTCTATATTTATGCAGTTAACAATACATTTATATTGAGTATATATGGTTCGTTCAATATTGAACACTATTGTGCTTAATAAATTTTAGCAATATTGTTTTTTTTTTTCAAAAGCTATTTACAATAAATTTATTGGGTGTTTCTATATTGTGCAATATATGATTCATTACATTAAGCACTATTATGGTTAAAAAAATTTAGCAATATTGAATTTTCCAAAAGCGATTTATAACAAATTTATCCACTAATGTATATTCTGTGTATTATTATTTGGTTTGGGTATATTATATGGTTCGTTACATTTAACACTATCATGGTTAGTGTTATTTAATTTCTTCAAATGCAATTTATAACAGATTTATCTGGTTTTTATATTGTGTATTATTGGTTTATTACATTCAACACTATTATGGTTAATAAATTTTAACAATATTGAATTTTCCAAAAGCGATTTATAACAGATTTATCCAGCAATAATGTATACTATGTATTATATGGTTCGTTACATTCACATATTGTGGTTAATAAATTTTAGCATCATTGAATATTTTCAAAAGCAATTTAACATCTTTATTAAATAATGAATGTATGTGTTATATGACTTGTTACATTCAACACTATGTGCTTAATAAATTTTAACAATATTGAATATTTTGAAATGCGATTTATAACAAATTTTGTTTGTTCAGTAATGTATATTGTGTTTATTATATGGTTTGTTACATTTAACACTATCATGGTTAGTGTTATTCAATTTCTTCAAGTGCAATTTATAACAGATTTATCTGGTTTTTATATTGTGTATTATTGGTTTGATACATTCAACACTATTTTGGTTAATCAATTTTAGCAATATTGATTTTTTCAAAAGCGAATTTCAACAAATTTATTGGATTTTTTTATATTGTGCTTGTTTTTTTATTGTGTGTTCTATAATATATGATTCTTTACATTCAACACTATTATAATTAATAAATTTAAGCAATATTGAATTTTCCAAAAGCGATTTATAACAGATTTATCCAGTAATAATGTATTTTTCGTTACATTCAACACTATTGTGGTTAAAAATTTTTAGCATCATTGAATATTTTCGAAAGCAAATCAACATCTTTATCAAATAATGTATATGTGCTTAATAAATTTTACCAATATTCAAATACGATTTAAAACAAATTTTGCCCAGTAATGCATATTGTGTATTATATGGTTCATTTTATTCAACACTATTATGTTTAATCAACTTCAGCAGTAATGAATTTTTTCAGTATTGAAATTTGTCCAGTAATGAATAGTGTTCAATATATGATTCGTTACATTCAACACTACTGTGGTTAATAAATTTGAGCAGTATTAAATTTTTTCAAAAGCGATTTATAACATTTATCCAGTAATACATTCAAAACTATTATTATGGTTAATACATTTTAGCAATATTTATTTCTTTAAAAAGCGATTTATAACATATATCCAATAATGTATATTTTGTATTATATTGTTCGTTGCATTGAACATTGTGGTTTATAAATTTTAGCAATAATAATTTTTAAATAAAATAATTTTCTCAAAAGCGATTTAACAAATTTAACCACTAATGTATATTTTATATTATATTGTGCTTTGCATTCAACATTATTGTGGTTAATAAATTTTGGCAACATTGAATTTTTTAAAAAACGATTTAAATTAAATCAGTTGTAATATATCTTGTAACTTTTTTCTACTCTTTCCTGAAATAAAATTTAGCACATTCTACTTGTATTATTAAAAGTATGATACTTTTCGGATGTTTGTTTTTGCCTATGAGAGTTTATGTTAATGTAATATTTCTAAATTTCAAATTTATTTACACCCATACCCAAAAATATAGTAAAATTTATATCATACCCATTTTATTCCATATTTATCAACATCCACAAACGACACCGTTAATTTGTATGAATATTGTTGAATTAAGATTGAATTCAAATTTTGTTTGATTCTTTCTTTTTAAAATATATCAAATTCAAAACGATTAAAACCTCTAGTACTTTAAAACATATTTAAGAATCTACTGTTGTTAGTACATTCATTTTAATATTTGAAATATATATATATATATATATATATATATATATATATATTTTATTGATCATCTAATTAATCAAATTTTAACGTTATATTGGGATATCTTCCATATAAAATGTTCAATTAAAATATATGTACTTACTGTAAATGTAGTTTGCTGATGGTAAATTTGCTTTATAGGATATTATTTTACTGCATCGGACTCATATGACATAAAATGGACAATGCCACATTGTGTTCTGGTATTGAGACACATTGGACTTATGACCGATATTTATGATGGTCAAACTGATCCTGAAAAATTGTCAGCCCGTTACCGTCACTCAGCACTGAAAACGTAATAAACTAATATATACTACTACATACATATATATACATATACATATATATATATATATATATATATATATACATACTTTTCCTAACCAAGAGTTTTCAAAATTACTCTAATTGTTTTAACGTATTGACATATTGAGGAGTTCGTTTACATGGATATGCAATATTTACTCTTCGGCTATATCCATAACCATACAAAATCAAATCAATTTAACAAAGACTAAATATGACTTATTGCCTTGTCTTGAAAATGAATTCTTGCATAATTTAATATAGTTCATTTTCAATTTTTTGTATACGGTTGTCAATCAACTTCAAATTTCTATGGAAACATTTAATTTCTGTTTTGTCACAGAAATATTTAGCACTTTTTCATTGCATTCGGTAACATAGGAAATACAAGAATTAAAAATTATTGAATCTATTTAATTTGTTCTAATTTTCCAGACCACCAAGTTTACTTGAAATATTAGGATATACATATTTTCCAAGCAGTTTTTTGGTAGGACCGCAATTTCCAATCACTCGATATAAAAAGTTCATTAGTGGGTCATACGATGATAAGGTAAGAACATTTAATATACTATATGTGAGAATTATGTTAATCTATTTTTGTTAAATCAAAATTTCATATGCCATTAAAAAATAAAAATCTATGTATTCAATATATCTCAAAATATATTATCTAAAAAAAAAATACATTTATCATATATTAATCTTTATATAAATATTATATCAAGTTAATAATATTGTTTATGAAAATGAACTAAAATTATATTATTTTTGACTATTTTCAGGACGGATATTTTAACTACAGTTTGAAAAGATTTGCTCTGGGTTGCGTGTATCTAATTTTGAACCAAGTAGGATCAGCTTGGTTGTCGGATGAGTACTTATTTTCAGAAGACTATCTTAATGCAAATATTTTCAAGAGAATAATCTACATGGGTTTCTGGGGTAAATTTACACTTTACAAATATATTTCTATCTGGTTGCTGACAGAAGGAGCTTGCATTGGATTTGGTAATTAGCTCATTTTTGCAGTAGAATTTGTTTAAAATATCTTAATATTACAATGCTTTATTTTAAGGTTTGACATATAATGAAGCTAAAAACGATTGGACTGGTTGCCAAAATATTAATCCCTACTTGTTTGAAAATGCTAAATGTTTTGGAGATTATATTGAAAGTTTCAATTGTAACACCAATATGTGGGTTGCAAATTATGTTTTTACAAGGTTACGATTTTTGGGAAACAAGTAAGTTTAATAAACCCATAATACCAGTTAAATAAATAAATTTGTATCACTGCCATAAGCACAAATGCTTATATTTGGTAATATAAGCATCCTTAGTAATTACATGTCATGATTTTATTTACCACTTCAAGATAGTTTTTTTTAACTCAAATGAAATATAAAATTATGAAAAATGATTTCATTTTCAAGATACCTCAGTCAAGTCTCATCCTTACTATTTCTGGCAATATGGCATGGCTTCCACAGCGGTTATTACATGTGCTTTTTCATGGAATTTGCAGTTGTATTTTTTGAAAAGGAGGTACGTATTTTTAATGTATTTAATTAGTGTTGACAAATTTTGTTAAAAGTCTTCTTATTAAAATTTTATCTATATTTTTCAGTTTACAAGTATGATAGCAAAGAGCAGTGTGGCAACAAATTTATTAAATTCCCCAGCAATGGCACCTGTAATATTCGTTATTCTGAAATTTTATACAGTGGTCAACATGGGATATTGTATAACACCTTTCGTTTTTCTAAGCTGTGCTAAGTGGTGGAACTTATATTCAGTAGTGAGGTTTTATGGATTCATAATTTTCTTTCCTTGGGTCTTCTTATACAAACCAGTTCTATACGCGGTGTTAAAATCTGTGGATAGTTCATTTCATCGTCCTCCAGTAAAATCAGCAAAGGCTGAATAGTGCTGAAGTTGCTGCTTGTAATACTGATTTTGCCATTCAATTGGAATAGGCATATTATTAAGCAAATGAAAAAAGTTACAAATAATTCTAATTGAACTCGAAATATTGTGTCTACCATATGGAAATCAATTGCATATTGTAGTTATTCAGCAGTTCAATGCATTTTTGAAATGACATTTCGTGAAAATTTAGTATTAGTAGTATTTCCCAGTGAGTGTCTATAAAACTAAATAGTTCGAATATTTAAATAGGACTTCCTAAAGCCATTTTTAATAGCTTTTATTCCGCATAGTATTTATTAACTTATACCTCCAGATGCAAATATTGTTCCTTATGTTAATCCTCTTATCCTTATTATTCCTATGTAAATATGTAAAAATTTGGTTTATAAGGAAAGTATGTTTTATTAATACGAAGTTTTAGATATTTATTCATAACTTATTTATATTTAGATCTGTTTTGTTGTACATGCTATTGAGAAAATAAATAATTATTGTAATATATCTATTTAAATCTTGTTCAAATTCCATGTCTTTATAAAAATAATAAATAAATTTTTCTATATTTCATTTTATCAATTTGGTAAACGCTTTTTGATAAGTTTTTCCAATTTTCTAATTCTACCTGTATCATGATCGGGACTATCATGTGAACATTGACTTTCATCATCAGTAACTATTAAGCTGGGAGCTTGACTTTTAAATATCTCAACCAAAGTAGTTTGTTCATTGCGTTTTAATCCCTTCATATCTAATACCTTATGAAATTCTGATATGTGACATTCTGGTAGCAATTTTAAGAATTGTTCTGTGAAACTTTGTGGAGGAGTTATGGGAGCCATAACAACTTTTAGTATCATTTCAGCTTTAGTCATCCCTTTGACAACAACTTTAGTGTAGCTTGCTGGTGCTTTTCTGTTTACTTGGGAACCAAGAGAAGGCAAGTCTAGTAGAACAGTTTTTAAACTATGAGTATCTAATAATAGCTGCTCACACCCTACAGTGTTACTTGTATTATCTGTAGAGATTCCAATAGGACGGCACTTATAAATATGTTGTATGAATTTTGGAATGAATGAATTCACAAACTTTACACAAAATTGCGTAAAATATTTACGAGAAGAAGATAAATAGTCTCTAATGATAGGAATATTTTGTTTGAGATAAGATGTTATGACATTAACATAAGCACTCTGATCTCCAACATTCTTAACTGTTTGCCATTGCATCTAGAATAAATTGATAATAAATACAAATTACTCTAAAAGAAAAAACAAAATTTAAGATGAACTGTATATGTACCTTAATCATTGTTGTGAGGGCTGGTTCACAAGATATTTCTAAGTCCTGCACTAATAATTGAATACAATTCGATATTACACTGAAATATAAAAATGTAATGAATATGGTATAGTATAATATATTTCACATTTTTATAACATACGTATGAAACATATCATGCTCTTGTGATAGATTGATTTTATCTTGCAAAGCAGGCTCTATTTTTTCTTTTAATTTATCCTCTAGTTGCTGCGTAGTTTCTAGACAGTACTCGGCTGTAGTTAAAATACAACAGATCTTTGCCAATTCCTCTTTAGTAAATCTAGGTATTTCACCTTCCTTCAGTAAACTATGAAAATTTTGAATGATTCCTGAGGTATTTAAATTTTGTATGTCTCTTGTGATTGACGACATACTTGTACCTAGTATTCAATTTATTCAATAAATAATTATAAATATAAATATGAACAATTATTTGTACACACCTAAGGACTGAGTTGTGGATACTAATTTTGGTAAATTGTTTTGCAAAATTTTCAGCGCGTATTCTCTAAGATATTTCTTAAATACTTCTGATAGGTTCACCATCGATTGACCTCTGCTTAATTGAGTGCACTGAACTAAGCACTTTTTATAGAACATAAATAAATCTGCACAACTAGGCAAAACAACATTAAAAGTAGTACTTGTATTGGAACTCATAAATGTTTTAGAATCTTGAATAAATCTGTCTAAATAGTCTGCTAAATTTCGGTCAATACTCTCAATATAAATGTATAAGTAAGGTATGAAACATATGCCAATTAATCCTGCAATTATATAAAGAATATATGTTATAAATGATAACTATGACATGAAAAAATAAATAGTATTTGTAAGTTTAAAATGTAATTCTATGAATGGAAAGCTACAATTCACTTACCATTAAATGGAGAGTCGACTACATTATTTTTAGCATCTGATGGATCAATTAATGATTGCTCATCAGGTTGGGATTCAAAATCATGTTCATCAAGTGGAATGCTTGTTACAATCTCATTAGGTAATTTTGATCCATCTTGTCTGTCTTCTAATGTAATACCTTGAATATGAAGTTCAATCCCTCAGCAATGTATAATAAACAGCCATCATTTATCATAATTAACAGTACATTTACCTGTAAATCTCCTTGAAAGTAAACTTTCGAAATTTGATGTTTTCTGTATTGCATACAAAAGTAACTTAACATCTATTTCATGCTTCCGTTTAGCCATTAGTTTTGAAAGTTCATCTCTAGTTACTTGACAAAATTGAACAGTTATTCTTTCCGAAACTTCCCAATTTATTGGAAACATTAAACCAAATTTATTCTCAAATTCAAGTAAATGTCTCTTCAGCCAAACATATCTTTTATCAATCTTATCAAGCCAAGCTGTGTCCTGATTTTCATGAAATAAGTGTAAGTACTCCTGCAATTGCAGACCTTAAAATTGAAATTAAATGTAACCACAAAATGTAATTATTATTATACTGATTATATTAATAAAATACCTATAAACCATTTTAAAATGTCCTTTTTAACTCTAGGTTCTAGTATAGAAACTACTAAACAAGCATCAGCAAGTTGTTTGTTTGGAATAAAACTTTTAGCATTTGGTCCTGAAAACGCTTCATGGAAATCCGACGTGATTTGTGTTGATAATTGTGCTTGTACCTTAGACACTTCATCTGCTAATTCCTGCAACATTTAATTTTTTGTACGAATATACTACAAAATAATACAAATAATACTACTATTCGTTCAAAATTATGAAATGAATAACCATAAATTATGATTTATGAATCAATGGCCTAACTGCTACAAGCCAATTACAGTTTTCTCATTGAAAAACAAAGAAATATATATAAAGATTATATATAAAAATATTTGAATGTAATAAATATTTATATATTTTTGATACCTTTATTTGGGGAATATCCATATAATCACTAAAATGCTGCATTACTTCTAAGATAGCTTGAAGCGGCATCACAATTTCACCATATAATCTTTTCTGAGTGAGCAGCTTCAGATTATCAATTCCTCCAACAAGCATGTGAAGATGATTTAAAGTAGTTATTGCTAGAGTAAGATTCTTTTTTGCACAATCTAACTGCTTAATATCCCGTGTTATCTCTCGCACCTAAAATAATTACCAATTACAAATTACAATTTGGTAATTACAATTCGCAAAATATGTTGTATATAAATAACACATTAATGAAAGTTAAATTTGTTACGTCAATACATAAAGCAGTAGCATTACAATACTAATTATCAAAAAAAAAATGTACAAACCATTTCTTCACTCCTTTCAGCCTTCATCTTTATATCTTTGATGTGTACAAATAATTCTCTTATAACTTTCTGTGCTTCTTCTAATGCTGTACGCCCATCTTGACCAACGTTAGTTTGTCCACGAACTACATTTCTTATGTCATCATCAATACAACTGATTTTGTATTCCATTTTGCATATAACATCATCAATATTTGATAATGATTGTTCAGTTGGAAATAATGAGTTTATGTAGTCCACACAATTAAAATCCGGGGAATCTAATGGATCAGCACTAGGAAGAACCTACAGAAAAAGCATTGATAAATAACAGAAGACTTCCTCAATTATATAAAATATTTACAAGTAAGACTTTAGACCAGTAAAAAGAGCATTGACATCATTATTAAACAAGACTTAAAATGTGTTTTTTTATCATCTGAAGCATGGTATATAGCCTCATTTTGATATACATTGCTATATATTTGAAAAATAAACATTTAAAATGTTTGAGGTTGATACGCATATATAATTTTGTGAAAGTACAATTTATTTTAAATGTGAAGAGAATGCAAATAATAATAAACACCTTATCAATCACTTCCTGTACTTCTGGTGGAAAACGAATAACATTTGATGAATCGTTACTTTCAGATTCCATGATTATTGAATCTCAAGATTATTTTCATATAAAAATATAAATAAAAATACTTTTATCTTGTAATAGACATTTTAAAGTATGTACATAAAACGTAGCAAAAATATAATAATATTTAATATAGTGCCATTATGCTGTTAATAAACATCAAACGAAGGAATTCATTTCCTTAAACGTCATGTTTTTGACAACTTGCATTGCACAACAGCAGATAAGCGCACAGGTAGCAATACATCGATTGCTCGCATTGACAGTCCTTGTATATACACGCAGTATTTTTTCATCTTTCGGTGTTTGGTGCAACTGCTTATTCGAAAGCTCATTCAGAGATAACGCCAACCTAAGAACGTCGAATATCTTGCGGTAACGTGTTAAGTGAGTTGAATATCGTATGTCCAACGCACCGGTCACGTGACCTGATAGTTGAAGACGTGTCGCTCCTGTCGCTCGCTGTGGCAACAAATGAAGCACGTATTTCGTTTTTAGTGTTACGGCGTTTCGGAATGAGATCAACGTAGTGTTTCGTTAACATAAAATTATTTGTATTCGGTCGTATTGGACCATTTAGTTCATAGTTAGGCGTAAATAAATTAAAAGTTTAAAAATGGGCAGTAAGTAATCAAATTGTTTCTTTATTTAAGTGTGTTTTTATCATTTTTCGAAACTTCTGTTTGTGTGTTCTCAAAATTAGCCCATACGGTGAAAATGCTTACGTATACAAAGTTCAAAATGATATAATTTTTTAATATTATTGTGCATTAATTGTATGTTGTTCTGATTTGCAGTAAAATTTCTTGAAGTTATTAAACCGTTCTGCAGTATTCTGCCAGAAATAGCAAAAGCCGAACCGAAGGTAATTTAATCAAAATTCTATGTCAGATGTGTTTGTATAACGGTACTAATATTTTCTAAGCAATTGTCATTGTGTAATTATTGCGTACGGCATAAAATTCAAATTATAATATACGCGAAAACCATATTTGCAACCCTAACCTAGTTTCATATAAATATACATTATATACAATATGTTGCAAATTCTTTTGCTGAATGATATATTAAATATTATTAATATAATTGAGTGTGTTCAGATAATCTTTAATGGACTGAGCACCAATTTTTATTATCTCATAATTATTTTTTTGTGTATTTATTTTATGGGGTTAGTTACTGTTGAACTCCAATATCCCTTTTTTTTTCAAATAACATTGAAAATTGGATAAAGAAATACTAAAGTTTGCAGACATAAGATTTCCCATATTGACACATTGGGTGTTTACAGGTTCAGTTCAGAGAAAAGGTGCTATGGACAGCCATAACATTATTCATTTTCCTGGTGTGCTGCCAGATTCCATTGTTTGGAATCATGAGCTCAGACTCTGCGGATCCTTTTTATTGGATTCGTGTGATCTTAGCTTCAAATCGTGGAACATTGATGGAGTTGGGTATTGCACCAATTGTCACATCTGGTCTCATCATGCAGTTGTTGGCTGGTGCTAAAATCATCGAAGTTGGTGATACTCCAAAAGATCGGGCACTTTTTAATGGAGCACAAAAATGTATGTGGTGTACTTTTCAAATCAAATCAAAGGTCTAATCTAATTGTTTTTGCGAATATACATGAATCTTTTTCGGAGTCTATTCAATATGTAGTGCCATTTACCCAGCATAATTTTAAATATTTAAAATGAGAAGTTAAGAAACATCTTTTGAATTGGCCTATGCTACATGTATCTGCTAAGACTTACATATTTTTTGTGTTATGCTAGTGTTCGGCATGGTGATCACTGTTGGACAAGCTATTGTTTATGTAATGACTGGAATGTATGGAGATCCAGCTGATCTCGGTGCCGGTGTCTGCTTTTTGATCATCATTCAATTGTTTGTTGCAGGATTAATTGTTCTATTGTTAGATGAACTTTTACAAAAAGGTAAATTAAACTAAATATTTCTGATTATTACTTACTTTATTAAATATTAAATCTTATTTTTTCTTATTAGGATATGGTTTGGGTTCTGGAATTTCATTGTTCATTGCCACTAACATCTGTGAAACCATTGTTTGGAAGGCCTTATCTCCAGCCACAGTCAACACTGGTTTGTTTCAATATATTTATTATTTTTAGTGTTGAAATAATAATAAAATGTAAAATCAAACTTTTTCATTATTTTTAACAGGTAGAGGAACTGAGTTCGAAGGTGCGGTCATTGCTCTATTCCATTTATTAGCAACACGTCAAGATAAAGTTAGAGCTTTACGTGAAGCATTCTACAGACAAAATTTACCCAATTTGATGAATCTGTTGGCCACTTTGCTTGTATTTGCTATAGTGATATACTTCCAGGTAAAAAGTCAAACTTTCACAATTTATGATTGACATGTACAAGGTTTTCATAAGAATATCTTTTTTTCAGGGCTTCCGTGTAGACCTACCCATCAAATCTGCTCGTTACCGTGGACAATATAGCAGCTATCCCATCAAATTATTTTATACATCAAATATTCCAATCATCTTGCAATCAGCTCTAGTTTCAAATTTATATGTTATATCTCAGGTAATTTTATATCTTGCATATTTTATATTTACAAAGTTTAAAAAAAATCTAACATATAATACATGTTGGCTGTTTGCAGATGTTGGCAGTTAAATTCCAAGGTAACTTCTTAATTAATTTACTTGGTGTTTGGGCTGATGTTGGAGGCGGTGGTCCAGCTCGTGCATATCCTGTAGGAGGATTGTGTTATTATTTATCACCACCAGAATCAGTCGGACACATTGTTCAAGATCCATTGCACGCTCTTTTGTACATTATCTTCATGTTGGGATCCTGTGCCTTCTTCTCTAAGACATGGATTGATGTTTCTGGCAGCTCAGCAAAAGATGTAAATACTTGACACATTCATTAAAATATTTTTAAATTTTGGATCATCTTATACTTTTCTCTATATTCTATGTGTCAAGCATAATTTTTTTACCAAAATATAATTTTTTTTTTTTACTAAAATTTGATACACACAACTATTTTGACATGCAAATTTAATTACAATATTTGTATACACATTAATTTTAATTTGTATTTGATTTAAAGGTTGCAAAACAACTGAAAGAACAACAAATGGTTATGCGTGGCCATCGTGATAACTCTATGGTTCATGAATTGAATCGTTACATTCCCATTGCTGCAGCTTTCGGTGGTTTGTGTATTGGAGCCCTTTCTGTGATGGCTGATTTCTTAGGAGCTATTGGTTCAGGAACTGGTATTCTATTGGCAGTGACGATTATATACCAGTACTTTGAAATATTTGTGAAAGAACAGTCTGAAATGGGTGGTATGGGCTCCTTGCTCTTCTAAGTTATTGCAATATGATTCGAAGTAAGAACTTTTGGGTTGTGGATAGTTTCGAATCAAATCTTAGACAATGAATTTAAAGAATTTATGTGTTTGACAAATTTACATCTATAAAGCCAAGTCTATAATTATTTGATGAGTTTTCAGAAAACTGATGGCAAATAATTGCAGATTACTGTAAATTGATATTTATATTAGAATTTTTATGTATGAGTTCTAAAATGTATGTAAATTTATATATATATGATAAAAATTAATCATAAGTGATGTTTGTTATATGCTAATATCATAAATAGACATTTTGTATATTGGTGTATCTCATTAAAGTTTGAGATACATATTTATCCCACACTTTGCAAGATATATTATGATGGTGAATTTTATTGCAATTTGTAGTGTATAAATATGTGGAACATTTTAACTTCATATTTAATTTATTTTTTATTATGAGATCATTCATTGTTTTTAATGTAGGTTTTAAAATAAGAGGATAAATGACCTGAATTATTGAATACATGTTTTTAATAAAACATTTGTTTTATTTAAATAATTATAATTATCACATATCTACATATACAATAGATATACAACTCACAAGAAAGGTACAAAGTGTTAATTTTTCATTGCAGGATGTGCACAACATAAAATCTACATTGATTTAAGTATTCAAAAATAAATGCACTATGCTTATTTACATTTTTGAAATGCTTAGAGACATAGGATTCAAGTTTATTGCATTTCATAACCTATTTATTACAGTTCATAAAGTGGTATAAACTAATCTAGGAATTGACAAATTGATTAAGCATTACTTTCTACATGCAACATTTGTATTATTTGGGATTTAAGTGTTGGAAATATAACAGGTATGTATATGTGTACAGTAAAAAACAATATTCTGTGTTAAATCTCTTATTTACAATTTATTTTGAATATATTTTTTTGATACAATTACCAATTTACACTTAGTATTTACAATAAATTGAATGCTGGTGAAGTAATGAAGTGATTTAATAATGAATGATTTAAATTAAAAATTCCTAATTACTATTGTTGGTATATATTAATATTAATGATTTGTTACTTAATTTGTACCTACCAAACATTATTTTAAAAAATTATGCAATTTAAAATTAGAACAAACAAACAAAATTTTAATTTTAGCTTATAAACAAAAGTAATATTGCTTATTGATAGATGATTACCCTTTATTGTTTTCATTATTATATACATCAGGGTCAGGTATACTAACAACTGTATCAGATGTGGGGTTCATGGGCATTCTTGAATCTGATGCTTGGGTTGTTCTTTCTTCTATTTTAAAATTAAAACCTTGCTTGCTAATGTGATCTTTAGATGGAGCATATTGAGAATGTTGTCTTGCGGTCTGTGAAGTGTTTTTGAAGGAATTTCCCATTGGAATTGGCTTAGGTAGTAGCATTTGTCTAGATGGGTCTTGAGATTTTGATAATCGTTCACTTAGAGCTTTTAGTGCTATTTGCCTGATAAGAAATAAACATTTTTAAGTAGATGCTCATTAATGGTTCTTTATCACTTTTTTATATATTCGTTATTAATTCCTCATATGTACCATTATATTGTATTTTAGATTACTGAATGATGACACACATCAAGTTTTGCAATGCATGTGAAAAATGTGGGCACATCGTTGAGGGGGTGCCATCACAAGTAGTTTTTCATATAATTTCAATGACAAATTGTTAAAATAGTTGAAAAAATATAGGGAAGACCGTAGGCTTGCCCTGGATTATATATATATATATATATATATATATATATATATATATATATCAATGCATATATAAAGCAACATGAGCTCTTGCTGCTTGTTATCATAAATATTGTTACTTTCAGAACAAACCTTCTTCTTTCCATATCATGAGGATCTACACCAGATAGAGGTATGTGAATAGATGAAGTTGTTTGTGGTAGTCCTCTAGAAGCTCTGTTCTTACAAATTCCAATTTTAACAAAAAGGCTGAATACAGAATTCCCAATTACAGCAATTGGCGGTTGCAAAACGTTTGGAAAGAAACTAAAAAATAGAACAAACATATGCAAACAACTATTATATTGAAATTGCAATTGCAATTGAAACATAATATTGTGTATACCTTACAAATGTGAAGCTTTCTGCAGTATCACCTTGCAAGCCATTGGAATGTCTTTGGTAAAATCTCAAATAAATCCAACTAACAATCAGGCCAAAGCAAAACATTGCTGGATGAGTACCATCCAGTAGACCCAAGGCCCAAAGTAATAATGATAATACAAGAACGCTAAGTGGTATATTTCGATTTGATATCTTTCCAATAGGTGTGTGAGCAAGTACATGCTCAGGCATAATTTGTTTAACAGCTACGCTCACTGCTGCTATATAACCAGCTAACCCATGAATATGAACAAAAAATAGCAGGTCTGTATTAGCCGTGCACATGTATAAAAATAAATAATAAGCTGACGTTAATACACCTACACCAATGTTGGTTATTGCAAAAAACGTAAGCATTTCCATTTGGCCCCATAGGGGCTCCATTAACTTTCCACATAATCCTACAGTTATTATATCAACTAAAACTTCCCAAAAATGTAATTCTAAAAAACAAAACGTAAAAGTAGTCCAAATCCAAAAGGATGGTGGTAAAATATAACCTGGTGTGACACTTAATACTTTAACGGCCTCATCGGAGTATGATAAAATATAACCAAATATAACTACTATACATATAAATTTAACAGATGTTGACGTATTTCCTAATAACGCATTAAATTGTTGTCTTATATATGGTAAATTACGACTAAATGCCCTAACAGTAGACATGTTTTCAAATTACTGTCAAATGCTGTCAAATACAAGGTTATACACCATGATCATGAAATAAACATCTTTGAAGACTATGGTTGGCAGCACTATTTGAGCGGCAGTTTTAAACTTTACATATAACATATTCAGTTACTAATCATACATGTATATGTAGTTAACAAGATAATAATATTTAATATATAATTTGAAAACATTTCACCACATTCAAAGCCTTCATGAAAGTGTATTTTAGTTATGCTCCGCAAGAATTCAGAATTTCATATAGTTCATACTAGTGCGTTGAATTTAATCTAGTTTCCAATTTATATATGTTATTATAATTGCTCATTCAACGTTTTTAACCAGTTACAAAAAAATGAATATAACCACAAAATTGCGTCAATTTCGTTTTCATTCAACATTATAGACTTTTTTCAAAAATTATTTGTCGAGAAATATTTGTATGTTTAGACAAATGTATGTAATTGCTAGTAGAAAGTAGTAAATAATAATAATAAATGGCAGGTTCATGGTGGGAAAGCCACCACAAATAACTGATACTCTTACCCTTCGTCTATTATCTTCATTACCACTATTTTTTTCATGTTTTTTCCTTTCCAAACTTTTGCTTCTATGCTTCTTCTTTCCTTCCTTTATTTCCTTCTATTTTACTTTCGACGACGTCGTGCAGGAGGGACTCTTTTTGCAGAAGAGGTCCGATCTAGTTTCCTTTTCTTCCCAAAATTGTGCTCAATAGAGTTCCTTTCTTCGCCCACTCTTCTCAGGACTTCATTTGCTATTTTGTCTGTCCACTTTATCTTGTCTCGCCCCCAGCACCACATTTCAAAACTATCGAGGTAATTCTTATCGGCCTTTCTCAGAGTCCATGTCTCCGATCCTGGAGAGCACAGCACTTCATTAGTTTCTTCCGCAAGTCGAGCTCAGTTTGCTCGTCAGTAGCATTCTCTTCTTCGTGAATGAAAGTAGTATTCTTCTAAAATTTTTTCGTTGCTTATTCTTCGTATGTTAGGTTTCAGAATTTATATAGGGAAAATAGGGGTAGCCAGTAACACGCTTTTTTCTACAGGACCTTAAAAGGTAATAAAATATTTATTTGTCTCGAATGGACATGTAAACCATCCGCAAGCCGACGCAATATACAGAACTGTGCAGGTCCGTCATTTTTGACATTTAATATAAAATCGATCTATCATAAAATTTCGGTTTACGTTATTTCTTTAGTTCCAAATTTATCAATATTTGATAATGCGAAACCATTTTTGTGATTAGTAAATTGTTATCTTGATTAATGTAAAAAAATCACATCTAGAGCTCGTTGTAACATACAAGAGTCAAAAGCAAATTGAAGCAAAGAAGATTAGGTGGAATTAATAGTTTGTAAGATGTGGGTAAATATAAATTTAATTAAAGGAGACACTATATTTTTTAATTGTATAGTGATATCAATTGTAGTTTACGTTAATTTTTGATATAAATTATAGGAGACATTATATATTTTATTTGTATTTTTATATAATTTTATATAAATTATAGGAGACATTATATATTTTATTTGTATTCGTTGTTATTTTTTTTGGTGGTGCACTGTTGTTTAGTTTACGAGATTTTTTATAACTTCATACGTTATTTAACTTTTTTATAAATGAACGTTATTTAATTGTTTCATAAGATGTGTTGTTAATTTTAAGTTAGATTCATCAGTTTTTTACATAACTTTTATAAAAACTTACACGTGGGTGGAGTAAAAAGGACCAATTGAATTTTTACCTTGGCAAAGATGTAAACAAAAATAATTAGCAAATAAAAAAGTAAATTAAGTTAAGATAAGCATTTTTACAAGAGATAAATTAAATTAAAAGTTATTGTAACTCTGCGGATAAATATATCTGACAAATAACCAAATCTAAATTTTATACTTTGTAAAAAATGTGCTCATGAAATTTATATTTTGCATTCGTTGAATAATGGAGCTATTATTTTGTAAAATACCTTTGAAATTAATAATAAGACATTGGATCTCTTGTCCCCCTGCTGTACCATTTTACTTCGCCTTAGGGGTAAAAAGACCAGGTTACAAATTTTTAAAAATAGCAAAAAGACATAGTTCTGCAATGATAAATTAGCTAAATATTTTTCTGAACATAGTTAAATGGTTGTTTGTTTGATATGTGTTATTTGTTTTGATGTAATCAAACTAACATTTGTCACATTTTATGATTTATTTATTTATTTTTGATCCTTGTTTATCGATCGTCTCCATTTGTTTCCTTTGGCACCTTTCTTACTTAGAACGGTTGTGTAGAATTTTACTTGAATCCACCTCATTCTTCGTATTGCTATATTAACTACTAAGTACTTATATCTACATTACTCCAACTATTAAATTTTTTGAAAATAGTATCTAATTTAATGGTCTTTTCCTTTTCAGTGTGGTGAGTGTAATATGTAAAATGGAGTTATTGTGTTGCCCTAGTCGATGTCGCCTGCGGCACAGCAGCTTGCTGCCGAGTTCCTCAATCGAAAAAGGTTTGTCATTTCATTTTTTACATTAGATGTAATATCATAAAATGAGGGTTGTCTCAACAAGAACTATTGCATGATATATTTGATACTCTTGCATTATTATTGAATTTGGGAATCGATATAACACATCATTCAATAATAAGTCCGTAAGAATATATTTGACGATTGAAATTTTGAACAATTTATAGTTGAAATGCGAACTGCATAACTATTATCTGCAATATAACATACTAAAGTACGCATTTAAACTAGGAATTATTCAAAATTTCAAGATCCAAATATAAATAATCTTGCGGACTTATTGAGTGATGTATTACTACTTACTATTATCAGATTTCTAAATGTAAGAATACTGTACAAAAATAGAAAAAAACGTATTCAAAGTTTGACAAAAAGAGTTAGATTTAATTCAATTTTTATTTTTAAACGCTCAAAATGTACATTCATTGATATTTCTATTTTATCAATATAAGACCAATTTAATCCACATATAAAGCTTCGATTCCGAATTTCATTTGCTTTGCGCATACATCTGATGTGTATTTCTGCATATGTGACAATGTGGCCAGTGCTGGATTTACAGTAGGGGCAATCGGGGCTACTGCCCAGGGCGGCAAATTTTGGGGGGCGGCAAAATTTGGATAGTGAGAAAAAAATTCTATACAATATAATCAACTTTTTTTCAACAACATTTTTTATTTCAAGAAATATAATTAACAAAACATAATACGATTGCAAAATTTGGGTTGAAATAACCGATAACTAAAATTTATTATTTTGCCTTGCCCCCCTCTCCGAACGTAAATTATCAAATTGGTTAATAAGTTATCAATTTGGCAATTTGACTAATATAAAGAACCGTAAACAAGCTGAAAGTTTAAGAAAAATATATTCTTCAGTTCTCGAGTTCTCTTAAAATGACGAATTTGTGCAAGCTTATAGCGTTGAAGAAAAATTAACCTGAAACATTCCGTATATAAAATTACATTTTATAAAGAGCTTTAAATTTTTTGAAAAATGAAAAAACAAAGAGACTCAAAAACACATTTTTTGTATTTTGAAATTTTTCGAAAATTATGAACTTTTTGCAAAGCAATCGCGCTGCATAGCTGTTTCAGCGAGGAAATATCGAAACTTATTTACCATTTTTCGTAATTGCCTGTGTCAAAAGCTAATCAGCACGTCTCCCCATCAATACAAATCTAATATTTTTTCATTATTCAAGTCGATTTCGAGAACACCGATCAACCCATTTAAATGATTCAATTCCTATTGGTAAGGAGACGTGCTGATTAGTTATTGGCCAAGGCAGGTCCAACTGTTTTGAAGATACGGGCCAAGATGCCAAAAATGTAATTCAGTTTTTGAGAAAAAAAAGCGTCCAATACCATTCAAAAAAAATTACAGAATAAATAACTGCTTAAATTTGTGGGGGCAGGTTTAGCGGTTTCGATGATCCAATAAAAAAATTTGAAAAAGAAACATTTGGCGGACGAAAGTGATCATAAGACATATTCTCATTAAAATATCAGATATTTTAAAGATATTTATAATAATAAGTATAAATTTTGTTTACATTTATATGCGTTCTGTACCATTGTTTATCCGTTAGATCGCGACGCGGCGCTTACGCGCTTCTATAATTTGTTACTGAAGCACCACGATTGCTTTAAAAAAGGTTGAAAGTTTGTAAAATTTCAGGGATGGGGCGGCATTTTTGTCATTGCCCCGGGGCGCCAAATTTCTAAATCCGGCCCTGAATGTGGCCATGCACCCCGATTCACATGTCTGAACTCATATAAAATAGGAATAAACAATTATATTCCAGCTAATATTATGAGTTACTAAAATAAATATGGTGAATATTATTTTGTATTCTGTATGGGCTGAATTTTTGTTATGCAAACCACAAACATTAGTGGATAAAAATGTCAGTAAATACAAGTCTAAATATGCAAATAAAAAACAAAAAAATCTGTTCAAACAAATTTTTGGGTGAATGAAATATGTGAATTTCAAATCACTATATAGTTTGCACTTCTGTGTATGAAAACGTTGTTTCAAGTTGAAATGCCTAGCAAAAATCTTAAATATTGAAATTGTTGTATTGACAAGGTTATAGAATAAAGATGCTTGTTCTCACAAAAAAAGCCATAATTATTTGATAAAATATCGAAAAATTTGGAATGTGACCTGAAAGTAACGCGGGCTAACTCAAGTTCAGAGAACAATTTTCAATTAAATAATCATGTATATGCAGTATCTTAAATTGGCTTCAGGACCAATTGGATTTTTTTTATTCAGCTCTCTCTAATCCATTATTGTCGAAATGTGTTTTTTGCTCCAATGTCTTATTTTAATTTGAAAGAGATTTTATCAAATAATACCTACATTATACAACCAATGTAAAATATAAATATTATGAATGAGTTGTCAATCAAATAATCTTGATCTGGTATTTCGTCAGAAACATTCATCAGCAGAGTTGGAATGACGATTTATATAATTCATCTCTTGTATAAATGCTAATCCTAAATTAATTTACGTTTTTATTTACATTTTTTGTTTATATCTTTGCCAAGGAGAAGATTCAATTAGTCTTTTTACTCTACCCATGTGTAAGGTTATATAACAAAACTGTCGAATCTAACTTGAAATTTACAATACATTTTATAAAACAATTAAATAACGTATATTTAAAAATTATCTATATTAAAGTCTCGTTAACTAAACAACAGTGCTCTCAACCAAAAAACCTAACAAGGAAAGAAAATACTTGTGTTACGGATTTTTAAACATTACCGTTTATCTCCTGATAGAGACGTCGTAAATATTAAGGTAATGGTTGATTACCTATCTTTGTTCTCTACTTTTAAATATTGTTTAAAAAATTCTAATTTTATTTGTTTTTGAGATAAAGTGGTGGACCTTTTTACCCGCGAATTTTTAAATCACGCTCTACCTTATACACATAATACTTCCAAAGCCTGGATGCGGTATTCATTCCACTGCATGTTTTGTAATGCATCTCAATATCAGATTGAACTGCAGGATCCTACGGCAATGGCAATGGCGTGCTCCGATCGTGGAAATCGACCCCCGGCCGAGCGTTTTGTCGTCGCTACAGAACGCACCCTCATATGCGGACGCGCGCGTGCATCTCATTCGGTATCTCATCCCCGTCCATCGGAGCCATGGAGCTTCGTAGCGCATTCACTGAACATGCCGTGCGTGTTCTTTCCTGCCGGCACGCGAATTCTACGCGGCCACGCCTCGCGCGCCTGAGGCTCCGCCTCCATGCCGGTCACCGCGGAGGCTGCGGCGTCCGCACGAACCTCCGCGTATCATTGTCGCCGTAGCGTAGTCTCTGTGTTCGCCATAATCGCCCGTATCGCGCTACCCCGAGGGCTCGACCCGCTATCAGCGTCCGCGGTTCATCTCGCTAAGAACTCATCTATATCACGTTATTATTATTTTTATTGATATTATTTATTAGTATTGATATTTGTTAATTAGACTGTTATTTTTACGCGCTTTGTACGGATGTGTCGAATCGACGATAAAGAACGGCGGAGTTTTATCCAAACGAACAGTGCCGTGTGAAACAGCGATATTAGTGTTTTGAGTTGTTTTTAGTTTTTAAGTAGCGATTGTATTATTTTATAAATTTAGTTGCTTCAAATCTTTTGGTTATTGTGTTAATTTCTGGAGTTGGCGGGTGCGACTCAGCCGAGCGGCGGCAGAAAACATTGTTTGGCGATTTCCTTTTTTGCAGTATGATTTAAGAAGACTTCACTAGGTACGTTTTGCATGTTTTATTTATATGATAATAATCATTATAAATGTTTATTATAGTGTCTTCTATCGTCGATAAATCATGGCAACGTTGACATATTTGACACATATACACACGTGAATATATTATTATCATTATGTTCTCTCAATTGATTTAAAAATCAAATTGTAACAATATATCTATAATCACAAATGCCGTTTTGAGCTAGATTTTAAGTAATCAAGTAAATCCCAATTAATTGTACAATGTTTAAATTTTGTATTATCAATATAAACTCGATTTTGTGAATCTAAGAGAATCAAAAGGGTTATTATGAAAATCATATTGATTATTTTTTTAGTTCTTATTTTCTAACTAAATTCACATTCACAATAAATAACTAAATAAATTCACAATAAATTTTAATGAATTGAGTACTTAGTATCACAAATTCATATTTTGTAATAATTTTTCATTATAGTAATGCTTTGAGTGTAAGATGATAAATTTCCAAAAACATATCTATTAATATTTTTTGATACCCTAATTTTTTTCTTCAAATAAAATATTTTCTGATAATAACCTAATTATATTTCTATTCCTAAGGCAGTAGCATGCTGTGTTTAATAAATTTACTTTTTAAATTATAACTATTATAAATCCGTTTTATTATAATTTTGTGTAGATATTCACTAAAACGGAAAAATGTTCTACATGGTCCGTGTTCATGTGTCTTCATGGCATGTTTAGATCGCTAATCTAGCGTTAAATATTTCATATCCTAGAATTCAATGCTCATACAAGATTATACGTCTAGAAAAACGTTTCACCAATATAAATTTTACAATAAAAAGTGCATTCCATGCGCTAATGTTTATATGTTTTCTTCTCAGCCGGACCGACGCGGTACGCGATGCGACGGTTTTCCTACATTTTAGTTGGTACATTTTCAATGGAGAGATGGGTTTATTTGAATCTATTAAATTTTGTACTAGATAAATTTGATATTTTAAAAATATTTTGGAACTAGCGTGTTCGACACATACGAAATTTCTTTCTGTTATTATTCACAATATAAAAACTGTTTATAAATTATATTAATTAAATTATATAGCTTTTATAAAGCCTAATGTTAAATAATTTCGAAGATTATTTTTTGGAATGAGTCAAAATAACCGATCGATTACCAATTATCGTAAATTAATATCCAATTATATAATTATAACAT